AATCTTGTCGATGTATTGTGTTTAATATCGATAATTAGAAAATTCTAGATTTAGATCCATAATAAAACGATGAGAACTATTTTCTATACGTATGTTAATACAAATTTATTAGTTATCACTGCAACTAATATTCGCAGTTACAAAACTTTTATAATCCATGAAATATTAAGCTATGATAAATAAATATGACAGATATGTAAGGTTATAATCGACGTTCAGTTTATAAAACAAGAGAGCGCATGAATATATTATTAATTAATTTATTTTTTTAAATAAATGCGACTTATAATTTTTAATGGGATACTTTTAAGTCCAAAAAATTATGTCACCATCTTAGTCGACTTTTGGCCTTTGAACATTTAGAGTGAAAATTGTAGATCAAAAACAGTATAGGATTTCATATTGAATTTGAAAACAATAACATAAAGTCCATGTACAAATTAACTAGACTAAAAACCGATCAAACTTTTAAAACTTTTTAGTTTCATTAGATTAGAAACAGCATAAAATATTCATAGTTGCTCAATTATTTTACTAAAAGGTTATTTAGACTTAAAACAGATCAAAAATAATTTGAATAGTAGATCAAATACAGATGAAAATGTTTTTAAAAGTTCAAATAATACAGATCAATAAGTTCAAGTGCAGATCATTTAGCTTAAAATCAGTTTAAATTTTTCGACCTGGGATAAGTGCAATTTTTTAGAAACATTTTTTTAGTTGTAATTTAATGAATAAAAAAAAAATCAAAAATTTTTACACTTTTTTAACTTCAGTGTCATCACAATTTTATCAAATTTTTTAGAAAATTGTGATATTCAACTTTTTGTGTTTTCAAATTGTTCGTTTTTTTATGTACTTTTAAAAAAATATATTTATCAAAAGCATCAAAAAAAGATAAAATAGAATTTTTATCTAAAAACTGAGCAAAAATTTTTTCCCAACTTTTGAAGGCAAAAAAGCTATCGAAATCTTTATTTTTTTCTCTCACGACATTTTTTATCATAAATTAATGCGCCGTAAAAACAAGCAGAATAAGAAAAAAATTTTTTAAATACTAATTTTTCACTTAAATATGGCCAAATATAGGGTGAACCCCACTTGTAAATAATTTCCAAATTATTTCTTACAATGAGGATGATTATAGCGAACGATAATAATTAAACTAATATAGTTATTAAGATCCTGTAGAATAATTTTTTTTTTAAATCAAAGGATGCAAGATCGATCAAAACTATCAAGACAAACTCTTTTACTTCGCAACGTTTCGTATTTTTTTTAAATTAACACTTCACCAGGCGGTCATAATATATTACTCTCAAAATTGTCAACAAATTCATATCATCGTAATTAATTTTGAATCACAGTAATAATTCTCTCACATTTATTAATCATCACCGATCCTTCATCCTCTGATTTTTAATAAATAATTAAATTATAACAAAAATAACATATTAAAAATTTATGAAATTTTTTAGATTTTTCACAAGCATAAAATTTAAATTTATTTAAAAATAACAAAACAATTAGTTATTTGATAATATCATACTCATTAACTCAATAATTCAAATATTTACTTATGAAAAATAAAAGAATTTATAGAATTTGTTTGATCTAATACATTTTTTTTTTTTTAATGAAACTTACTATTTGTATTTCTATAATATTAAGAGATTAAAACTATATAGATATATTTATGGTACATTATATTGAGGTAATAAAAATGAAATATATTTATATCAGTTCATATGTATATATATTTAGCTTTAGTAAGTAATTAAATACTTAAAATATTCAACTTCTCTCTCAAGCACCTTTAATAATTTTTTACAAGATAAATTCCAATAATTGTACAATTAATTACTAATCGAGCATTTTCATGTTCAAAAACATTTTGATTTAAAAAAAAAATGAATTTTCCACAATAAAATTGCAAATAAAACTTAAGTGAAGCATAACTGCTCAGATATGTAGCATTAGCGTCAGAATAAAATCAAACATTAATTAACCAAATTAACTTGCAAAAATTTTTCTAGAAAAGGTACCTTAGTATAAGTAAATAGTCTTAATTGCTATTATTGTAGTAATTTACATGATAAAGAGATTTAACACTGATTGGTAATTGCTTCCACTTACCGATCAACTTATATAACAATATTTTTGCCTTAATATTAATACAAGGCCTAAAAAAGGAAATTGAGTTTAACCCTTCGAGTGTATATAGTCATTTTAATTGTAAAATTTGTTGACTGATCCAGCGAATAAAAATTTTTTTTTTTGATTGAAAATTTTCAGATTGAGTCGTAATTTTTGTAACTCTTTTAATAGAGTCATTATTTATGAACGTGAGCATTAATTTATTGGAAGAAGATTCGTTTACTGACTTAGTCACCCAGTCAAAAACTTTTCAATTCAATACTCTTACTAAAAATATCCATAATTTCAAAAGTATTTTTTAATTAAAAAAATTAAACAAGAAAAATAAAATTCTATAAAATAATTTATATAACTTTCTACAATTGTATTTACATTATTTCACCTGCACAATTACATAGTTATTCAAACTTATTTATTACATTATAATTAAATAGACTTTTACTAACTTATTTATTTTTTTTTTATTTTTTTTTTTTTATAAGAAAAACTTTATCAAATTATTTTTTTTAACTTTGAGCATATTTTTTTTTTATTAAACCATGTTTTCAACAAATTGAAAGATTTAATTATGAAATATGATTCAAAAGCGTAAAAATAAATTTTATAAAACATTTTAAACAAATTAACAAATTAATAACTGATATTAAAATACCTCATCTTAAAAGTAAGCTAAGTGGTAAAGGATAAACGGCAAATACTCGAAGGGTCGATCGATAAACATTGACAATTTAAAAATAATACGGCATTAACATTAAACAAAATCTAACATAATGTAATGTATAATATTATATAATATATAATCAATACGTTATTTATTACAAAATAGATAAATGCTTCTTATGTATATAAAATAAGGTTTGATGATTTATTAATGTATAATTGCGCAATCATTTAAAAAAATATATCTGCTATCACTTGACATTGGAAGTTATTTTAGAGTATTCTGTAAAGCTATTAGTTATTTTTATTGTAATTATTACAAATGATCTTGATGTCTTGGACTGTATTGAGGTGACCACGTTGGATTGGATGCTTGGTTGAAGTTAACAGATATCGTTACAGGATGAAGCACAATGTCAGGTCCAGTATCGGTTATATAAGACATTTGAGGTCTAATAAAACCGGAATCTATTGTCAGCGGAATATAAAAAGCACCCCCTTCATGTAGAGCGAATATTGGTACGCCGTGTGACTTTTCTGAAGGGGCTAATGGCGATGATTTTATCCTTTCCGCGGAGAATCTTTGTTTAATTGAACTTTTGAATTTGTAATTTGACGGCCTGGGAACTGATGAGGATGCGTTGTTTGAATGACTGCTGTGATTGCTATCGTCGCTGGCCATTGTAGGTGGAGGAATTATCTGTTGAGGACGTTCGGAATCACTGAGTGAGCTGATTCCGGAGCTCGAACCACGATCTGAATGATTCGTCGGTGGACAAAGTGTTGGAATACTTGCGTCAACAAAACTAGAAGCTCCAGTATCGTTTAATGTTGGCATTTCTGGGTGAGGAAATCCCAGTCTATCACCTGCAAAAATTATTTATTGTTAATAGCCTGATTCTCATTGTTTAATTAATTGCATATTGAAAAAAAAAATATTAAATTCAATCAAAAGAAAAATTGTTGAACTAAGAAAATAATTCTAAAGAACTTCATTGTCTTGAAACAAGACGAAAAATTTTTGAATCAAGTAAAATTAAACCAAGAAAAATTTCTTAGTTTAAGAATTTTTGGTAAATATTTACAAGTGGGGTCAACTATTTTATTTTCATTTTTTTAACGAAATTTCTATTTGATTTTATTGATATATTTTTTTTTGAAAAATACATAAAAAATGAACAATTAAAAAAAAAAAGTTGATTATCACAATTTTAATAAATTTAAAAAAAATTTATAAATTTTTTTGAAAATTGTGATATTGAACTTTTTTTTTTAAATTATTTAATTTTTTATGTACTTAAAAAAAAAATATATCATAAATATCAAATAGAAATTTTATTCAAAAACATGAGAACCAAAATTTTTTCTAACTTTTAAAGGCAAAAAAGCTATCGAAACCTTTATTTTCTTCTTTCACGATATTTTTTATCATAAATGCGCCGTAAAAACAAGCAGAATAAAAAAAATTTTTTAATTTTAATTTTTCACCTAGTTATGGCTTGTAAATAATTACTGAATTTTTTTACTTAAATCAAAAAGATGAAGTTCTTCAAAATTATTTACATAATTCAAGTAAATTTTTTTTCTGTGTAAGTTGTGAAAAATTAAAAATTTTAAATTGACTTATTATTCGTGTAAATTTTTTTTCGACCATGAACATATAAGTATATGTATATATCTTGATACATAAAAATAATGGAGAAATGATTTTTATGATCAATAGAAATGATATGAACACTAGAAAATTTTTCAATAAATTAATCATTGTAATAATTAAATTTAAGTCATCATGTAGGAATGTTTAGTATTTATATGATCATGTGTGTTCAAACATGGTCAGATTTTAATATGATCTATGTATTATTAGATGTACCAGCATAGTAAGATTGATTAAAAGTTTTTAAATTTTCACTTAATGTATTTACTTGTATGTTATAGACAATTATAAAATAAATATTTACTTGTAGCAACAATCTTTTCACAATGCTGTTGCAAATGGTTGATTAATTGTACACATAAAGAATCTCTTGCAAAAAAGCCTTCTCCTTCAACAAGGAAATGTACAGCTTCGCTGAGACATTCTTGAAAGCCCATTCTGTAATGTTCAGCGGCTATTGATCCAGATGCTGAATGTGAAACACTGTCAACACTATCTTCCTGGTGATTATGAATGTTCGTTACTGAAGGATGTTTCGTATCTATAAAATAATATTTTTTTATTAATAAATATTTTTTCCAATGATGCGAATATTATAGAAGCAACATTTTGATCATTTTTTTATTCTATTGATCACAGTAAAAATTTTGAGTAATTGCGTAAAAAAAACTTAGTGTTAAAAATTTTTGTGTTTAATATTTAACATAAAAATATTTAACACTAAGTTTTTTGACGCAAAATTTTTTACTGTGTACACTTTATATAAGAAAAAAAAATTTGCAAGAAATACTTTATTTATTTAACTTAAAAACAATAAAATGATCCGTTTCTAAAGTAAATTTTTTGAATATTTTTTGGTTTTTTTTTTTAACTGAATAATTTTTTTCTTCAATTTTTAAGCAAATATTTTGCATCATTGCTAATTCTCTATCTATTATTTTGTTCCACACTTATGTCAAGAAAAAAAAATCAGATAATTCATGTAAAAAACGTGTAAATTAAATAATTTACCTTGATGAGCGCCCTGAAGATATTTCATGTGTCGAATAGCCATTTCAATAATTTCAGTTTTTTCAACTCGCCCTCGGCCTTTCTTCAAGTACTCAGTAGGTATAAGTCGACTAAGATCAGCTAAACAATTATTCATACGATCTCTTCTTCGCTTCTCAATAATCCTATGCGACATAGGGTCTTGCTGAAACATTAACAAACACTTAAATTATTTATCAATTAAACAAAATAATTAAAATTTATAATATTCATTGTATGATTTCAATATATTTTATGAATTCAATACAACTAGAGTCATGGTTCTAATTATAAATTTTATTGTTATTCATTTCACGAAAAAGGTCGCATGCCATCAACGTCATCGGAAATGACAGTCATTAACTTTTTTACGTCAAAACGTTGTTATTATTGATGGAAACTGATAACAATCTTAAATATATATTTTCCTTTCGATGTGTTACGGTATTTAATCGACTTATTTAATGCAATAATATTGTCTTTTTTGCAAATTAATTATTACCTCTTTATTTAAACAACGTTTTTTTCGGTTCAACGACGACACTTGATTAGTTGAGGTATAATACTGCATTTTCAAAATTTTTTCCATACTATGCGTTACCATTTTCATACAATTAAAAATTTCAATAAAAACGGTACACTGTCACAAAAAGTTTATTATAAAATTTAAAAATAATATCGTATGTTTATAGTATCATTTCTAACAAAAATATCTTGTAATGATAATTGTGAATTTTATATTGTTCCACCTTCGACAAGATATCAACTCAGACTGAAGCACCAACCACAATACTGAGTTACGTCGTTTTGAATGATTGGGTAGTTAAGAGTGGTGCTCAACGTTACTCAACAATAAATAAATTTTTTCATATAATAGTCAGTAAGCAAAGCTGAATCCTCTTCTCAATACTCTTCTCCCTTTAAGTCGCTGTAAATTATATCATCTAATCACGTGTATGTTTCTTTCAATAATATAAACAACACGTGAGGATCCAAGTACACACCAGTGAACCCATTTTTAATTCTTACTTCAATATATGATAAGTTATTAAATTCAATTTATAATTATAATTATAAGATTATTCAAACATTTATATGACCCGATTATTTTTAAAACTAATCTTTTTTATTATTAAAAATAAAATTATAATGACCCGAATAAAATTAAAAACTGATAAGTAGAAAAGTTCAAAATAAATGAGAATTATTAATTGGTTTTAACTAGAAATAATTTTAATTAAATAATCTATTTGCCAACATAACAAACAACATTACTTGAATATTTTTCATGTATACATCACGTTTACAACATATATATGTCAACCTATTTAAAACAACGTGATAAACACAATACAACGTGCTTATATGTAATATGTAATAATTTTAACAAGTTTGAAGAGCACAGATATAAATGTATAGATATATTGGTGCAACAGGTGCTTCAAGGGGGTCAAAGCGAATTAAGGAAATATTATTAGAATTAAAATTTATTAATTTGCCTACTTGATTATTAATAAAATAAAAGTTTTATTGGGAATACCGCTGGTACAAAGATAACTACGAATAATGAAGTAAACGATGAAAAATTAAGAAATCACGTTTTTTTCTACTTATTCCTCAAGTGGCACGTGATACAGCTTACAAGAGTAATGATTGATGAATATAAAAAGTAATGTTATCAAGGAGAAACAGCAATCCGGGTCGAATGATATCAAATAAACTGGATATATCTAGTATATTTGAACTCTGTGCTTCGTATAAATATTCTCATTATGGTCCGGTTATCTTCGCAAATGACAGCAGAGGTCCCCTGCATGTTTTTCAAACGATAACTGAGATTTACCGGATCTTGCATACGGCCTCACTCTGACAGCAAGACTTCTTATTATTTTTTTTTTATCGCTATCTTGTCTGGTGTACGTGATTCTTAGGTTACTAGAGGTGATCGGCCTCGTCATAAAAAACAAATCATTTTTAGTATACTTACGAATTGAGAAATTTATTTTATAGATAAATTGAATAATTATTATTACCAGACTATTTATTCCTTTGCTAGTTAAAAAAAAATTTATTTATTTTTTATTAGAATAATAATGAGTTGGTAGTCTTATAATTTATTTTTTTTTATTCAATGTTTTGAAGCAATCGTTGATTTAATTATTACTATAATCTAGCTATCATAATCATTTGCAGTAAATGAATTTAATTTCTATATTGAGAAGTTTATTTTCAACCATGCTGTATTATTATTTATGTAATAATTACATTTTTAAAATCTGGGAATTTTTATAGAGATTAAAATCTTTCGGAGTCAAAATTTTGATAGTTAAGCAATTTATTATTTACAAATAAATATACTTAAGAAGAAATGAGACAATTAATAATTATTTTAATTGATCTCAATTTAGCTGACAAATATTTAAGTTTGAATTATATTTATCCGGGATAGCGCGAACGCAGTCCCGACTACCAAAAATAATACGCCCGAGATATCCACATTAGGGATATTCGCAGGGGTCAGCTCAACCGTAGTGCAATGGAAGAGCCTCGTCCTGGAGGAACCGCCTTATTGATCACGGTATCCTCTGCGCCAGGTAAGTATGCTTATCTCCACCACAAAATCGCTTTTAACAACTCTAGAACAAGTATCTAAGTCGGAACAAAAAGTCAAACTCTGCGCCACGTAGCGGTTGATTTATGAACTTGCTTGACACTTGTATAACACATATATGGAGCAGATACTATGCGGGTGATCTTGATATTCAATACAAGTGTAATACGAATATAATAGAGGAGATTGATATTAGGAAAAACGATTAACCTTCATCAGATGATAGTGATGCACGACAATATATTTGATTTGTAAATAAATGCACGTATACGTAAAATTTAAATTATACAAATCACTTTCAGTTGAATGAGTTTCCATAAAAAATGCATTTATTAAAATAAGAATGTTCTGGAGCGAACTGTGGTTTTGAATTTGAAAAATTTTTTTTTGGTCAGATCAATTAAATTCAGCTCTGATTTAATTACTAAGATTCTATTCTATAATCATAGTTTTTTCGTCAGTTACTTAGTTTTTCTTATCATTGATGTACTTATTAATGATTATCCTCACAAAATTAATTTATCAACTCAAAAGGAATATTTTTTCTATAAGTCTACATTGGCTCATTTTTTTTTATTTTGTGTTTACCCAATCATTGCGTCTACAACCAACATTTAATACTGCTTAGCATTTGTCTGTGCATCATGTGCAAAACACATGCGTACATCATGTTGACAAAAAATGATAAATCATGAGAGTAAAAAACGATTGAATAATCAATGTATAACACGAAACTCTTATTGATACTATTGCTGAGTTACTTATTAATTTAAAGTAAGAGTTTTTGAATAAATTATAAATTATATACACTGATAGAAGGATTTGTTTATAGTTAAAAATATTTGTTAATATTTAACAAATCATTTATTAGAGACCACTTGTTAGTTCTTAACAAATATTTTTTAGTATTTAAAAAGATTTATTAATATTTAACAAATGAATATCAGATTTATTAAATACAATATTTGTTAAGAACTAACAAGTGGTCTCTAATAAATGATTTGTTAAGTATTAACAAATATTTTTTAATACAAATAAATCCTTCTATCAGTGTAGATGGTAATATATCTACTCGAAACTTTTAAAATAATAAGAATATAAATTTTTATTTGAAATTGCTTAAACTTTTATGTTTTTATAAATTTTTTAATTGTAACATTAATAAAAATTTCACAAGATCTTCTTAATGACAATACAATGAAAAAAAAAAGGAAATTAGCAAAAATGTAAAAGAAAATAAAAAGAGGAACAATTTTCTTTATTAAAATATGCTTTTCGATAACAAATAGTTAAAACAAAATTACTTACTCTTGAAACTTTTTTTTTAGTATAAACTTCATCATCTTCAGAAGCTGTAGTAAAATTGAGATTTCCTTCGCAGTATCCTGCACCTATTCCCATTCTGTATATTTCATCTTTACATGATCTTCCCTCCAAGCTACTAAAACAAAAAAGTAATAATATTAAATAATTTATACAAAAATATTTTCAAAATTTTTTCTTCTAAAAACGACTTAAGAGGCAATATATTATGTTGAATATAGGTAAAACATTGTTAAGATTAGAAAAAAAAATAAACATATGAAAAAGTTTATTCGCCATTAAAATATGAACATTTTTATAGATTAGTAATGTAAATTTTTACTTCAAAGATGAGACGACTTTTAGTACTTTCAAGTTAATAATCTTTTTTTTAAACATTTAAACCTTAATATAAAAAACCATTTGGAAATTTCATAAAATAATTATTAGAATGTTATCGACTACACGGAAAAAATAAATAGGTACTGCAATAGGATGCAGTCCTATGGTAGCAACAGGATTTCTATCACTTAAAGAACCGGACTGAATGAATATAAATGATTTTTTATCAATTAAAATAAGTCTCCAAAATAAATTTTTTCTTGTCGGGATTAAAGAAATATTTAAATTGAAAAAAATAATCAAATTTGTAAAAAAAACTCAAATTTTGAAGAGAAAAAAAATTCGAATTTGAAAAAATTCCAAATTTTTTTTTTAATAAAAATATTTTTTTGAAAATTTAAATTTTGCTTTTCAAATTCGAATTTCTCTTTAAAATTATAATTAGTTTTATCTTACAGCTTCAACAGGAAAAATCCTGTTGCTACAACCGGATTTCATCCTGTTGCTCCCACAGGACTGCATCCTGTTGCAGCACCTATTTTTTCCGTATTTTATCAGCAAATTCAGGTATGAAATTTGATAATTTTTGTTCATACAAAAACTAGATGACAGTTTGTGCAATAAATTCACATATTAAATTATACAAATAAAATATCTGTTTAACATTGTTTTGCACGATGAAAAAATTGTCTTCATGACTCATGGTGATAAATTTTATTACTTAATATTCTTGAGCAATATGGTGTGCCATTTCTAATAACTTAATATCTTTATTTTTATTTTACTGGAAAATGTATCTTTCTTATACATAATATTATCGAGTTATGAAAAATATTTGCGATAATGAGTCATTGAAGATTATCTGAAAGACAATCGCCCAGTGGGGCCACTTGAAATTAATTAAAAAAATTGTGCAAGTAGATAAAATCAATGATAACGATATATTACAAGATTTATTTATTTACTTGCAAATATAAGATATTAGTATTATGTGAGAAAATTTAAGTATAACAATAAAATTAAATTTTAATTATTTTTTATGAAATTCACAAATACTTATTCAAGTCAGAGCCTCATCCCCTGAAATGATTTCTGAACGATATCGTCAGCTGCTTATACAATACAATAATTCTATATTGAAATTCTCACATTGCAACAATTCAGGGTTCGCGAAACGACCTGAATTATCTCAGAATAAGTTCCAGAGATAGCCAGCCTAGCCAGTCAACTATTTTTCAGATTTTTGCTTTGAACTTTTATTAAATTATTTAATCTAAATTTAACTATTATTATGTAATAATAAAAAGCAAAATTTATTTCCAATATCAATTCATTTCGTATAATCTTCAACACCGTTTACATAATATAATAAATCAATAATATTTAAACAGTAAAAAAGAATACCGTGAAACTCGTAACGAACGGTTTATTGTTTAGTTTAGGAATCTAGAGCACTATTTTTTATTGTTTGTATGTAAAGAAACACAATATCAGTAACGATTAGATGCGTCCTTCAATGGTTTCTCCTCCCAACATTCATCTCGTCCTCCCATTTATACACTTTTACTTTTACATCTTTTCAGAAGTAGTAATGTAAGTTATTAGTTATTACCTTTTTTACAGGCCAACCATAATTTTAATTATCGAGGTAATAAATAGTTTCTTTGAGGTGATTTTAGTAATTATTAAATTTTTCTATCCACAGGCAAAAATACCGTCTTAAGTTCAGTCTGAAAAATTTAAATAACTTGAATGTTTCAAATTTTAGTATGAAATTATACTACGCAAGAAAGAATAAAAATATGTATCCAAAATAGTCTAATTCTTAAGATAATTTATAAAAGGATACCTATATTTGGTCAATCCACTTTGAAAAATATTTATGCAAAAGATATGTCCGAACATATATGTTGACATATATTTTTTTTGCAAACATATATATTAAATATGCCACATAGATGCCGCATACATATTTCCATGCGAGAATTTAGAGTATATGAGCATTGAACTAAGTTGTGCAAAACATTTCTTATTAGCAAAAGCGTGATAATATCCACGTGTACCAGCTTATACTTATATGTTAAAATAAAAACTCTGTTGACTCATAGTTAATTCACGTGTATACCAACGTGTACACCTCGAAAAGAATGGTACACATAATATATTTAATTTTTTATAGGCATATGGAACTTTGACTTAAAGTTTTTCAATCTTTAAAATCAAGCCATTCATTACTCTGTTCTATTATATTTATAAAGTTAGAATATTTTCACGATAAATCGGCAACATTCGATAGTTTTTTTTAACGATAGAGCTGATTGAATTTGTGAACCTAATATAGTTAATGTTTATTGATTTTTACTATTTTTTTGGACATAAAACTTTGTTTTTTTTTTTTTTAATTGTCATCTATTTTATCATTTATCAATAAACATGAATTTTTGAACTAATAAGTTTTGTAGCTACTGACATACTGAACATAAATAATTTTGATTTTTGTATTTTAGTAGATTAGCCGTTATCAAGTTATCACCACTGCCAGTAACGTACTAATTTTTTAAGGAGCTCCGTTTTCCCATTATTTATTAACATGACAAGAGTAAAAAACTATAAATGAAGATAATTTTTATGATGGTCTAAAGTATGTTTGCTGTGTTGGATAAACCTTTGATCAATACCTATAGTAGTATTGTCAAAAAAATTAATCAAAATAGTATTTTTTCGAGTGTCTAATCCAGAATAATTCCTTAAATTAATAAGTGAAAGTAGACGTTGTTGCGAATAGTAAGTATTATTCAAAACATAAAAGTATCAAAAATTTGTTCATTTGCAAATTAAATATACTGCAAATAGAACGTTGAAGACACGTTGCAAGTCAAAATTGTAGACTCCTCTGTATCTAAATAAAGAGGCAACATAATAACTGTTATTATCTTTTTATAAGACAATACTATAAGTAATCTATATCGAAATATCACGTAACTTATGAAGATCCAATAATTGATCATTAAACCTTTCAACGAAGTATTCCGAATTCATAATTTTTATCTAAAATACATTCGTAAAAAAAATCAACTTAAAAAATTCGAAATTTCATTGCTTCCTCTACTTACACATAATATTAATTATAATATTTAATTCATTAATATACATTAATAGTAGGTTTTAACAAACATAAAATTTTGATTTGGAAATAATTTTTGTAATCAAAATATTAATAACAAAAACAATTTGGTAACAGTAAAATAATATATCGAACGTAAAGAGTAAGAAATAACCGCGTGGCAATCAACGTTACTTGAAAAATACAAGTGAGACTTGTACATGATTCCTGTATAACCTGCACACGATTTACTCATGCGTGTCTTATACTTCATAACATATATCGATGTAAATATATATGCATAGAATAGTCGTTGACGTTTAACTACAATTCACTTAATCTACTAATGGATCTACATAATCCAAATCATAAGGTTATTGATATTTTTCGCGGGAACACGAATATATTAAATTGAAGAGAATTTGAAAATTTCTTTAGAAATTATTTCTTAGATATCTTATTATCAAATTGCTATGGTGAAATAATTGCCGATAAATTGTTTGATGATTACGCCCGAAATTCTTAATTTAACAAATACCAAACATCGGTACATTTATTATATCAATGAAGAAAGTACATCAGTTCAATTCAAAGTGGGTGTTTAAAAAATTTCTTTGACCGAAAAAATCAAAATTTGTTGAATTATTTTCAAATAACTTCAAAATCATAAGTGATTACTGAATTATGTTAAGTATCTTAAAGATTTTATGGAATTAGCATTCATTGATATTCTCTCTTACTTCTTCTTTAATCATTTTTTAAAAATTATTCTTATACTTATGAATCGTTTTTTCTGTATTGAAAAAAATGAAAAATCAATTTTTAGAATGCTCTGAAAGTATTTATAAATATATCTTATTGATCATAGTCTGAGAGATTAAAGAAAAAGAACAGTACTTAAACATGGATTTACTAATGCGATAAATGAGTAAATATTATGTGCATATTGCATGGTGAAAAAAGTGAAATGCACGTTAACAAGTAAATATAAATAGTTGACAACTAATGTCGTACACTATAACATATATAGTAGCATCATTATTTTCCATGACGTATAGTGTCTATGTACCCAGTACTTACGTCAGAACTTCATAAACAATGTAACCGAATATGTTACAGATACATATATGTTTAGGTATATTTTATCGCAAATTTTATTCACTTTCAGTTTATTGATGTTAGCGCACCGAGGTGTATGGATACTTAGAATCAATAACTCCATTGTTAGACAAACATAATTAAAAATTATAATCAATTTTTGGATGTCAGTCGGTGCTAACCGAAGAAATTTTTAGCTTCAAGTGTTTATTACTTAGTTTTTTGGAAAGTAAATATATTTTCAAATCAAAAACCATTTATTCCATACAATTTTTATGAAAAGTAGTTTAAAAAGAAATGTATTGAGAATGTTAATCATTTTTTGTGAATTTATTGTTTATTTTGTTATTGAAATGTTCATTGATATTATTTCTGTACGTACAATTACATGAAAATTGTATTATTTATTGTAACTTGGATGGCCACAAGGGGCTTAGACTCCATGGTCAATAAATAAAAATAATAATAATAATAATAATAATATTTTTGCTTGAAAATTATTTTTATAAAATAAAAAAGGCTTATAAAAAAATTGATATAGTTTATAACAAAGTCATTACTAAATGAAAAATTATTTTGACAAATTAATTATCTAATTTTCGTTGATGAAAAAATTTTTAATGAAAAAAAAAAATACAAGATAAACACAGAATATACGTGATTTATTTAAATTTTATTTATGCTAATTTTCACTGAACATAATTTTTATAGCTTTTACCAAACTTCAAGTCTGAAGCAGACATACTTATTCAAGGTTTCTATAATATATATTCATTTACTATTTTTAAATGATAATAATTCTGTAAAATTAATAACATATGATCTTTAAATTAAATAGTAATAGTAATAGTTTTAACTCATAAAATATTTGGGAGTAAAAATTTAAAGAACTGTGTCGTTTAAATAAATTTATACCTATTGTAAAATTTATCTTTTACAATATGAATCGTTGTACATCCGGTGTAGAAGTAAGTTGAGATTATATATTGGTTGGACAGTGTCAACGGCTAGCATGATATATTTGTCTGTGACAATAAACATATATACGACGAGAAATCGTGCACGTGATTTTAATGAAATCATTGACAACACAACTATTTCTCTCGTTGTTTTTTATGATAATTTGATTTTATGATTATTTTTCAATTTAAGATTACAAGAGATTCGATGAATAATTCTTAACTTGCTTAGGTCACTACTGAAAATTAATTGATATTTCAAAACTAACGTTCTAAATAAGATTTAAGATAAAAATAGAAGATTTACAGTCGAGTCTCGTTATGAGTCCTATTAGTGTCTCTCTCATATTAACGCGAGTCTGGTTACAAAAAAAAAGAAAATAAATAGGACTTGTAACGAGATTCGACTGTATATACTTTCGTTATTGTACTTGAGAGCAACTTCTTTGAAATTTTAGTCTTTATTTGAAATCTAAAAGATTTTCTTACGAAATTTTAGGTAAGAATTTCGATGTTATTGTCACTTTTATATTTAAAAAGTTGTGAGTTTTGAATTGATGTTTTTCTTTGTACATCCCATTTAGCTTTACCATAAAAAAAAATTTTTTTTTACAACTTACAATTTATTTTATTTGCATGCTTTAAAAAAATTAAATAATTACGAAAATCAATTTTTTGCGGAGCTTCCGTGTTTTTGTTCTCTATTTTTTATGTGTATTAAAAAATTTATGAACTTGTTCGTTTATGTTAAATTTGAATGTAGAATTTTGATAAATATAGCTACCCATACACTGATAGAAGAATTTGTTTATAGTTAAAAATATTTTTTAATATTTAAAAAATCATTTATTAGAGACCACTTTTTAGTCCTTAATAAATATTTCTTACAATTTAAAAAGATTTATTTATATTTAATAAATGGATATCAAATTTATTAAATACAAACAAATCATTTTAAATATTAAGAAATATTTGTTTAATACTAAAAAGTAGTCTCTAATAAATGATTTGTTAAGTATTAACAAATATTTTTTTGGTACAAATAAATCTTTCTATCAGTGAAATTTTCTTTCATTTCTTCACTGGTCAAAAAATTAATTTTATTAAAAAAAAAAAAATCTTAATTCAAGCAAATAATGTTAGAAAATTTTCATGTTTTGAATCGAGATAAAAAATTTTTGTTATTTAAGAAAATTCTACTTAAATTAAAAACTTTTCTGTATTATTCAGAACATTAAAATTCTTATTTTTTGAAAATTACACTAATAGTTTTTAAAATTTTCTACATGCAGAATTTTTATTTTTTTAATAAAAAAAATCCTAAAAATTTTCAGATCCCAATTGTAGTGAATTCCGACCTTTGGCCCAAAAAAACTCTAATTTTTCACAACAAAAATTTCACAACTCAGCAAATTTCACAAGGTCAAACACCGAACATTGTAATCTACATTATTTATTATTCATTGTACCGAAGGACAATTCAAGAAAGAGAGAGAGAAAGAGTGATCGTAAGCGGTGACCTTAAAACTAATTTTCACCTGCCAAAAAAATTTACCTGTTAGTAATTTTTTATTTTAAATTCAAACTGACTATTTTTTCTCAAATGAAATTAATGTAGAATAAAACAATAAAATCATAATTTATTCACCTTTCATATTTCACCTGCATGGAGTGAGTGGAGCTTTCATCCCAGTAATTTTGAGTATCCATCATTTTGACTTAAATTTTTGAACCAAGAAATGTAACACGCGAAACACTATTACTAGTTGTATTATCGATTGAAGAAATTAAAACTCTAATAATCGTCTTTGGTTGTATCTTACAATTTAAAACTTATAACTTATATGCAATAGCGTGTCAACCACCACGTAACAAGTACGATTTGTGTCAAGCTCATGTTAACGTTTCAGTTTGTATATAACAAGAATATTAACAAATAAAATTAAAGAATTGGCAATAAAAAACAAAACTATGTCTTGCAAAACAGTTTCAATGATTTACACTCAGGTATTTTAAAATTTAAATAATCATAAATTATTTAGTCTTATAATAACAAGTTTTAATTTGTCTGGAAAAATTTGGAGTTTTAATTGTTTTTCTCGTTATAGATCTAATTGACTAGTTTAAAAATAAAAATTACAATAAATTTTAAAAAAACAAAAATATATCACTGCCACTGATGGAAAATTTTTTCACACACCAGATAAAATATTTATTGATGTTTTATGCGAGTGAGATGTCTTGTGTCTCTTTGGAGTAAAATCTCAACCAAACAGTCTATCTCCTTTTCTCAGACTTGTGCTTCTGTTCTCGCATGTTACTCTTGCATCAACCACACGCCCTTCCACGTGATCATCAGTAAGCAGTGGGAGGAAGCCTTCGAGTTGAGATCCACGATACGGCCATTGACTCCTCAAAATTCCTCACGATTCACAATTGTCAGGTGATCTGCGAATGCGTAGGTGAAACATGTATCAACAGACCAAGACCGTGTAAGTTTACTTATGTTTTATTTATAAATATAAAGATGATTTTAGTTTTTTTTTTTTTTTTTTTCTATTTTAATGAAGAAATAATAATTATTATTAATTTGTTGTTTTTAGACTCCGTACAATCACGATGACAGTAACTGAGGAAGAAAACTTGTCTAGTTTGTTTAAAATTCAAATAAGACGGTTCAATTAAACAAATAAGGGCGACCCCGATTAATTCGTTTGGCACGCGTGTCGTTGCTCGGCAGGTTGCAATACACGTATAAAACGTGTGGTCGTGCTACGATCTTCACGATGTAGTGTAGACATGTAGAGTTACGTGGTGGGAACAATTGTTGACTAGCGCAGGTACGGCCCGACACGATATTATGCCACAATCAAACCTTTTTTTTTTTATAATTACTTGGGTCAAATTAGGAGATTGCTGAGTTTTTAATTTTTTTTAAATATGACACTGAAGTTAGCAATAATACTAAAGTTAGCCGACGTTTTTAATTTTTTTATTTTTCTTTAATAATTAAATTAGAGCAAAATAAATATTTTTTAAAAATTGCACTGACAGTTTTTAAAGTTTTTTACAAATGAAATTTTTTTTCTTCGTCATTTTTTCAATAAAAAAAAATTCTAAAAATTTTTAGATATCGGCTAACTTAATTCTCATTTAAATTGGAACAAAAAAATATTTTTAAAATATTGCACTTACAGTTTTTAAAGTTTTTACAAATGAAAATTTTTTATTTTTTTGCAATCTTTTTTTTGATGAAAAAAAATTTTTAAATGTCGGCTAACTTAATTTTCATAAGTTAGCAGATGTCTAAAAATTTTTATTTTTTTTTTTATTAATTAAATTACAACTAAAAAGATATTTCTAAAAAATTGCACTTATAGTTTTTGAAGTTTTTTACAAGTGAAATTTTTTTTTTAATTAAAATTAAAAAAAAAAAAATTTCTAAAAATTTTGAAATTTCGGCTAAGTTCATTTTAATTTTAAAAATATTTATTTAATAATTTTATAAAAAATTTCAAAATTTTTTAAATGTCTACTTGTAATCTAAAAAAATATTTTAATAATATTTAAACAGATATAATTTTGATTGATAAATTTAAAATATGTAAAGAGTGATGATACTAAAAATATTTGAAAATTTTTTGGGTTTTTTCACACAAGTTAGTTATTATTTAAAAAACTCCACAACAATTGCATTAAATTTTTCAATTCTTCACTAATTTTATTTCTTAATAAACTAAAAATCTGCTATAGTTAAAATTCATCTTGTTAAAAGTAGCAAATATTGAATTAGTTTTATAAAAAAAGAAAAATTTATAATTACTTTATATAATGTTATATGATACGCGAGTTACTAGACTTCCGACAAATAAACAAATCAAAGATATCCATGCCTGCGTAATAAAAACTGTAAAAATTTTCCATATGTATATTAATTACCCAAGTACAAAACTTATTTAATGTCTCTTACTTTTGGCCATAAAACAGTTTAATTTTAATTTTTTCAGTCTTAATGGTAATTAAATAACCCACCGAGTTTACAAAAATGCATAAACAATTAAAAATTAATCAATCTCCAATATTAACACTTTGTAAGTTTAATAAATTCAGGTAAAGTTTAAAACTCACACTTAAAAGCTTATTTTATAATTAAACATTGAAGTAATTTCGAAGAAAATATTGCACTTGGCATAATGATGCGCGTATAATCTGTACAAGGTACTGGTGCGTCATGTTATCGTATTATCAGTTACGAAGAAAAGATAAATTGATTATAAAATAATTTCACGGCTTACGAGCCAAGCGAAATCGATTTTAACAATATTCTCTCTGTTTTATTTGCATGGATAAGTAAATAATTAATAACAATTAATTATAATCAGCCATATGTCCGTAATCAATTATCACCAAGTCCTTAAACAATAAATAAATTAAAAATTAATGTTCGGGAAAATATCAATTTATTATTACTTATTATAATTAAAAAAAACAACATGAAAAATTTGTGATAATTGATAATGTTTTATCTGCGCCTTGACGATGACAATAATAAAATTTTAATTTTAATATCATCGATTTATAAATAAAGTAAACTTATTTTTAGCGATCTGACGCAGGTGAAGTATTTCTATTATTCTATAAAAAAAATAAAATTTTTATTTGAAATTTCTTAAATTTTTACAATTATTAAAATTGAAATTAAAATAATATTAATATTAGCGAAATAAAAAATAAATGTTGAATATTATGTGGAGGAGAATCGGCGAACTTTCTAATAAACTTGAGACGGTACTGGGAGGTACTTGGGGTGGCGGCATCGCAACTTGACACAACCACGCTACATGACACGTGCAGGTGACGTCATCAGTTCGGTCACGCGAGCAATGTGTGCTCCAAGTCACGTGTGTTGTCACGCGCTTACACCGTAACCAATTTCTTTTCCCCGCTAGATTATCGTACTCCGTACCATATACCTCTCGATAGGTACTCTCATAACTGAACAATGTAACAAAGTAAAGGCAATGTTTTATTTTTTTTGTTAATTAATTTTTTTTTCCCTCTAACTATTTCTTCTTTAGAATATACTAGACTTTGCTCTTTTTCCTCGTTTTCTATTTTGTTCTTATGTAAAATATCGAATGACTTATAATTTATGAAGATTTTGTTTAACTCAATACATTATAAAAATAAAATTATATTTACCAGTTATAAACTAAATTTTTACTTGATGAAATAGTATTTTTCTTATCTAGGACAGGAAAATAAGAAATGTCTCAGATTACATGTAATTGTTGACCGAGGCGAAGCCAAGGTCGACAAACATGTGATCTGAGGCTTTCTTATTTCCTGCCCGTGGTGAGAATACTATTTTTCTCCTCGACGGAGGCGGAAAGCGGCATTTTCGTTTAGCGCAACGAGCGGAAAATTGACGCTTTCCGCACGGAGAGGAGAAAAATTTTTTTTAAATAACTAGAATTTGTTTATTGAAAATATTTGTAAAAATTTATTTACTGCTCAGTATTGAGTCAATGAAATTTGAGTATTTTGTAATAAGAATTATCGATTGTAATTTTATTAAATATACAGATAAAAGTGATGTCTCATATTGTTATTAGTGTATTTTTATGAAATTATTTATAATCTGAATACGTAAATAAATTTGTCAATATGCAGATGTGTGAAGATCCGTACACGTGTACGAAGTTTAAACTGAACAAAGTATTTTCTGTCCGGCGCTGATAAAAATAGTTCCTTTAATATCTTCGTCTTTATTTAGTTTGATATTCGGTACGATTTTTATATAACTCTAATTCACTGATTTTATTTTAGAGATTATTAGAATAGTATTGAAAGATCTGACCGTAATATATATTATTATTTAATCAAATTTTTTACTATTAAAATATTTGGTTTACTCAAACATTTTAATAATATTTTTTTATATTAAAAAAAGGTACAACTTACATGGTATTTTTTGTCTTCAACAAAATTCAATGTCTCCAAATTAATAAAAATTAAAAAAATCAAAGATTACAAATTTCTATTTTTTATAAACATTGAGATAATATGATAAAAGAAAATATGAACAATAATTAATTAAATACCTTGATGCTAAAATTTGTTTTCCTGAAGAAATTTTACTTTTTCATTAAATTCTTCTTTAAATCATTAATTACAATTTTTAAGTCCATGACTTTATTAAGTCAATAACTATCATAGTATATAATTTTTTTTTAAGGAATTCAAAAAAGGAATTTTCGATTTTTTCCTTCAGGTTGAATTTGAAAATGTCAGGGTAATTTATATTAAAACTTACTTTTGTACCAATCATAACAGAAACCATGGATAATATTTGAATTTCGCTAATTTCACAATAATTATACGAATGATAAAAATTTCATAAATAGAGATTGAGTTTATTGTACTCTAAAATAATTTGAAATGCATGCAACTTTGTAAACATCGTATAAATAAATATATATTTTGACCTTCCGTCATTCATGCAAAATACGAGCGCAATGCCCGCACGTCTGTGGAAAATTACAAAATTAAAAAAATAAAATTGTTGTTTACTTTAACTAAACTCTGATGTCAACTGCAGATGATCATTTTTTGAAGATCTTTCACACAGAAGTGACAAAATAATTATAGTTTATATTTTTTTCAATTAATTTAACTTTTATCTCTTTTTACAGAGAAAATTTATTCAATTT